AAACAAGGTTAATGAAATTGAGATAAGTTTTGGAATCTTACGTAAATCATTTCCACCAACAAAATGAGGTTATGTAATTAGTGGCCACAATTTTATAACAATAGTAAACATTCTCTMTTCATAAAGCTTATGTCGCAGTATGTGTTATTTCCAATCAAAGGACTGTCTTAATGAATATCGAATATAATACGTGTAAAAGCAAGAGTATAACATACATGAACATGTATCTCGACACTGAAAAAAGCCCTAGRCTATTCAGTTATCAAGTTGAATTGACATAAAAACCACTTGCCACTTTTTCCATTCAAAAGCATTTACAATTCACTTTGACAAAAGAAACACAGCAACTTCTGAACGATAGTGAAGTCAAAAGCGAAAAACATCAGGAAAATGCTAACAATTTGTGAGTTTGATATGTTTCAACGCAGCTTTTAACAGAGAAAAAAATCATAATCTGAACTACACGAATAAAAAAAAATTATGTGGTTATTGACTAGTCAAAGGGAAGCCACTTATCATCGCATTCCGTTTTWATAGGTCAGTATTTCCTCGCAAATCTGAAATAAGAGTGACCATGGATTATTCATGATTATTTGCTGAAAATTGAAACTGACATCCGTTTCTTCTTTCTTTTCGTTTTTTTTTTCGCAAAATAATATTATGAATTTACGCTTTAGCCTATCGAACGGTAAACCTTAAGTTCTCTAGTGTTTTTTTTTAAAGTATTTGTGTAATTATATTAAATTCCGTGTTGTTGGTTGGAAAATTTCTCTCAGTAGGCGCTTTTTCAGTGTTAAGCAATATATCACAAGCTTTGACTTACCAGAATGTATCATCTTATCATCGAGGTTCTGCAGGAAAAATCCATGCCATTCTAGTCAAGATTTTAATCTGTTTGGCATAGGCTATATTATCATAATTATTATCTAATTCATCCCGCCTATTCGGTTCGGAGCAAGCGATAGGCTTTTCTAAGTCATAACAAAGATATCCCTTGCGTCAAAACAGTCCCCAGGCTAAAACGTGCTTGAGGTATAGAGTCAGTCTAGTGAGCAATAAACTGTGAACCCTTTAATAACTGGTTGGCCATATGGAACTGTCGAAAATACCGTATTGCGGTGTTGATCTTAAAATATAATTCCAAAAACATTCACAAAATCATATAGAACAGTAGAAATGTCCGAGGGAACTGGGAAAGGGATGGGAAAGGAAAAGATGAGAGACACTTCCCGAACTTAAACTAAATCGTTGTTATCTCTAGCTATAACTCGTGCTTAATTTACTAAGCATTGAAAAAAAAAGAAATTTAAATCGTAAACTTGAGCTATAGTTATAGTACTAGCATATATATGGCGGGTCTTTAGAAGCAAAGTAGCCAGCGGTCTGCTTTGTTATGACGTCATTCTTCAGCCGCACGAGATTTCTGGAGCTTCATGTAAAAATAATCATAAAAATAATGATAATCATAATCATAAAAGTGTTTGCTTGTAGTATTCAATTCTTATTGGATGTATTGTCCATGATATCGTGAAATATCATTCGGGACTGAAGCCTCCATTCCATAATTTATCGGTACCATGCCACTCTTTTATTGACATCATCGATAGCCAATCATTAACYTCCAGCCGAGAGAAGGAGTTTTAAACCTAAAGACTTCTTGTCGTTCTGCAGGGATGAACAACATTGTGTGAAATGAAGCAATGACCAATTAAGCTCGTTGAGTGTTTGACAATATGAATATGATATACATTGAGGGGTTAGTATGAATTATTGAATAGAACGACCGAGTTACTAAGCATTGTGATAAAATTTGTTCTACGGAACTGAAACTTATTATGAATTCGCTTACATGACGATCTGTGCATTATTTCAATGAGTCCATAAAATGGCAATTTCTCAAGTTATTAGAGATAAATAAAAACAAGCTTGTCAGACAAAAACCATCTTGACTGCTTGCTGAGTACAAAAATAAAAGCAATGCAATATATGTATGTATAAATATTTTTATATAAAATAAAAATCAATAGGAGAAAAGAAGAAATTCCCTCGAAAAAATGGCTAAAGTGGGCGCGACACGGACACKCGAAGCCAAAAAAGAGCGGTCACGTTAAATGTAAAAGGTCACGTGGCCGTCGTCACGCGGGCAGACGAAGTACTTGGCAGACTAACAGGACCAATTCTAGTCTACGAAAAGAGCTTCAAAAATATGGCAGGAAATGGAATCGAAAAGACGCAGCAATGTGTTGCCTGTAACAGAGCGGTAAGTTAAGATGTCAATTGACAATCTTAGTGAGCTCATGGCATGAATAAAGAAGTGTGTTATAGATAGATGTTGATTTTGAATCAACGTATGACTCAYGGTTTCGGCTAGAARCTGTCTTTAAGTYACACAATTTTGGCGTTTTCTTTCGACTAAAAGACCTGGAGGACATTTTAAAGAATTTCAGTAAAAAAACACTCTTGTATTACGGCGTTAAACATGTATACCTTAAACTCAAAATCATGTTATTGAGCAACGAGGCGGAATTGTTGTGACGTCTGTGTATTGAGCGAAGAGAGGAACTTCACCACTGAGTTCAACGTCAATTCTTTATTTCAATTGCAGCAAGAAACAGTTTGAACTGTTTCTTGCTGTCTGGTTTCTMATTTTAGAAAAACAGAGAGAGAAACCCGTTGATTTCATATTTAGGAGTATGTTAATTTGACGTATAAGAACTATATATTTATCGTGTAAACCGTTTTAAAAAATTTAAACACAAAAAATCTGATGGCTATTGAGCAATACACAGCTTTTGTATTCCTCTTGACATTATCAAGAAAAGAAAAATGTTTTATCTCGCTTCCGATGTCATTTTAATAATTGGTAGATTTTTTCCCGTGTCAGCCTAAAAGGGAAGAGAAATATGAAATATTAAACGGGAAATTAGGGGGAAAATATCGTCGATTGTGAAGTCATTAAAGAAGAAGCGAACTATCATTAGAGATGTGAAGCAATACATAATGAAGTTGATATTGATTTTGCGGTGTTTAAATGAATTTTCAATATCTACAATAGCTAGTATGTTAATTCAGACGAAGAGATAATCGCTCTTAAAACCCATCGATCATGAACTGGCCAACATGCACGCACTTAGTATCTTCGTTCTAAAAAATCATGTTTCGTCTTGACCTATCGTAGGCGGAATATTAAAAACACAAGTACACATAATATACTTCTGAACGGCAATGTTGAGGTGGTTTGAATATTACCTAACAAGGAACTTTGAAATCTTTTTGTTAAGGTGTTCATCACAAGAAATGCCCATCAACATAAATCATTATTCCTTTTTGTAATAAAATGCGTTGAATGGCACTTTRATGCGTCGTTGCTAAGGGTATCGTTGAGTTCTTATTATTGTGACAGCTTTTGCATCCGCAAGTAATGTGAAATGCAGCGATAGCCCTAAAAGACTAATGAAGTATTCTATTCCATGTAAACCGTTTCTCTATAGTTACTTTTATACTCTTGTATGTGCGCTGTTCAACTTTAAACACTCMAGCAGTAGAGTTTAAATTGCACAGGATGATAGGAAAATTACAAATTCATTCAGGATTTCCTTAAAAAAAAGTTAAAAACATAAAAAAACTCTTTTAGGTACTTAAGTCTAGTGTCATCRTCATAACACGGTTCACAWTTTGGTAGTTCAAATSTAACGTAATYGACTACAGTGTTTTTCGAATGAACGACGGGGGATGTTCATCGCCCTTTGCTCAGTCCTACTCCACTAGACCTTTATTAATATAAAGAAGAATCGACATAAACCAGGAGTTCTTTCAAACATTATTATGAATATATCAAGAAGTTAATGTAGTCCTTTTATATATGTGAATTTTCAGATGTCTCGATCCGTTTGTACTGAGACATTGCATGTTCACCCACCATGCCGCTCTTTTTCAATCTAGTTGCCGTCAGTAAAGTAGGACAGACCATTGCGTATTYATACGTTATATCATTGACCTAGATGCGTTGCTATGGACGTTACCAGGCGATCGAATTCAACTAAGACCAGAAATTTCGTATTCGATATGATTCAACGGTGAAACAACAAGAGTCAAACTAGTCTGAGCTGTGGTGTTGTCTGTRCAGTAAAAGGATTTTCTCAATGAAACGTTTGTGATAAAAAGTATCATTTCTTAAAGTATGAATTTACCTTTTTTCGAAAAAAACTAAAAAAAGGCAGGTGCGGATCCAGCATTTAGAAGGGTTGAAGGGGGGTGCTTTTTTCAGTTATGTATAGAACTAATCATTATTGTCTAGGGCATGAAAATTATCCTCAATTTGACCGGAAGCAAATGGACTTTTATTGAAACGTATCTTTGACTACACTACTCAAATAGATTAAGCAGCATAGTGGCAGACACACGCTGTATGTGTATGCTACTCGTTTTCTCGATTGAAGTGCAACAGGAGTATAAACAGCAGAAAACAACGTTTATAATGATAGATTAAAAAGATGCGTCGTCCCCTGGACCCACCTCCCCTGGATCCACACCTGAAAGGAAATCTTATAAAAATTAAATATCGTCGTGGAATCGCGGGCTCATTTTGTAATACTAAAGTTGAGTGGGTAGTGAGTTTATTGTCGAACTCGACTTCATTTTAAGCGACTAGCAATATTTGCTATTTATAGGTATGTATCTATATACAGCCTTTTGCAAAAATTATGAGAATTGTTGAAATATCTAAATATCATAATATCAAGTGCATGATATGTAATCCCGCGCGATGCCCTTAGTCCCTTGTCTTTGTAGTTCTTTTTTTCTTTTTGGCGACGGACTTATCCGTAGTTCTGAACATTTTCTCGATGTCAACAATGAATTATTCTAGCAAACCCGCGTGTTCCGGACAATATATGGATATAGATATTATGATATTTAGATATTTAGACAATTYTCATAATTTTTGCAAAAGGCTGTATACTCTGAGAATTGGTATATTTATAAATGCAAGCCGATGCTAACGGCAGATGTAACTACCATATATGGATCGCGCTTGTTTCGCATATTGACATAACTRGTATCTCTATGACGTAGTTAGGTTGCTCAGGGTAGCTGACACTTGATACGATCAGTTTTGCTTGTCCCACTTGTGATTTGGATTGCCTTTGACGTCGGAACAGAGAACATTTTTRCCCACAATGGCACTTCACTAAATTAGAGTCTGTGAATCAGTCTGTTCAGAATTCTGCAAAGAAGCCGATTTGACCTACCAACATGTCATGTCTTCAGTGCATTTCATGCAACTCTTCGGTAAGCCATAAGTAACTAATTAAAAAAATCTAGGTACAATTTTAATTTAGTGGCTTAATTATGGTTCGATAAAATGGCTCTCAAGAGGATTTTGTGTTATCCAGTATCAAGCAAGCCAAGACATCATTTAGGGAGAAAAAACGTTGGAGTTTCCCTGCCTGAAAGGYGGCATTGCTCTCTAATCGACGACTTAAATATCTATAATTCTATAAGACGTTGGCCGTGGAAAACTAAACAATCTTAATTACATCGAGTCAGTGAATGTGTTTAGATTGTGGCCACAATTTTGTCTTATTGATAATATAAAGATGCTTTTTCAATTCGTTAGGGATAACTTAGGACTGGCGAGCCTATATTTATTTATGAAAGAAAGTTGGGTATTAGAAAATGAATTTTTGGTACTTATTCCAGCTCAACGGGAAACAATTCCATACTCATTTCAAGGATTGCTGAAAGCACTCTAAAACGTGAATGATGACAATTATGATGATGATAGCAATAACAAAAATGAAGATAATGAAGATTCTTATAATATCAATAATAATATCGGTGATAAACTCATTACGTTTTTATTCATAAAAATCCTTACTTATTTAACTTTTCCATATAAAGAATCCAAAAAATGAACTGTTTACARTATTCTTCTAAGAGTTTCAGYGATTTCAATATCAGTTATCACATAAAGTGTCATCTGTTCATGATATCAACACAGTCTCAATGACTACTACACTAGATTAAACCATGTATTTAGACTAAACCAACAGTGCTCATTTCCGGCCTGCTAATATCGGGGTCAMGCCCGCCCGTTGTTGGCATTCTTGCTTTAAGGCAATCGAGCAAACCACCAATTAAAAGGTGATACAGYAAGCTTCAATTATCCCAATAACCGACAGTAATTCAATTAGTGGTTTAATGACGACCCATTTGACTCTCRTTATGTGTTTTGATGTTTCGCAGATTTTTGAGACTGCAAACCTGTGTAAATGCGGTCACGTTAATRAAGCCATGCGCACTATAGCTGGAAAGAGATTTTCTGGTGAGTGACAGCTGTTATTTCAGGAAATATTCTAAAAATGCAGCTAGGATGTTGCTTGATAAGAAAATTGAGTCGTCTCTAGCTTGAAAAATAAAATTTAATGTAGACGTTTCGATCGCGACTGCAATCTTCTTCAGTGCAGTGGCAAAAATGCAAAGTGTGCACGCGCGACTAACGGTTTGCACACAAAAAATTACAATGAGACGACTCCATTTTATTGTCATACAGCTGTTATTGTTTGTTTGTGTTAGCATTGACGTCGAGATTTCGAAGGGGCGCAGTTTTAACAAGCTTGTTCGTTCTGTATCCTATTATTTTCGTCAATTCTTGCTCATACACATTATCAAGAACAACATGGAATAGTTATTTGAAAGTGACGTTGACGTCAAAGYGACGTCACCAGAGCTTTCAAATGTGCTTCAAACCCGAGTAAATTTGATAATTTTTCAGTCTTTTTCACTTTGCTCACCCTGTTGTTTTAAAAAAGCGATATAATTTCTTGAGCGACTTAGAATCATAACTAAAACTATTGCCCATTTCCTGATTTTCCAGGTTACAGAGAAGAACTTTACACTCGAAGGGTCATCAAAGAGAGTCGCGACGAGTATMGACGAAAGAAACGGGAATCCCGCGGGATTAAGCCAAGGAAGCGGGTAGGTGGACTATTTTTCAGTTTTATATATATTTCGGGTTCCCTGTGAAAAAAAAGATAGATAGCTGTGGAAAATGAGAGCAGGAAAAAGAAAAACAAGTTAAAGAAATAGATAATGACTTTGAAAGAAGCATTTCGCGGAGGATATGAACTTTACGATACCTAATAGGCCATTTGCATGATGGCGTAATTTTACTACAACTACCAGAGAGMCTTGCGCATTTTCATTGTTATTTAGATTTTTAATTCCCTTGGAGATTAATAAAACAATTGGCACTAATTGCATTACAAAAGAAAGTTGGCAAAGCATTCTGGTAGCAAATGACGCCATAATGGAAATCGGCTATTGCAAACCTTCGTCCTATAAAGAAATACAACATTTATTTCTTTACCGCAAAATGAATAGATATATCAAAAACATAATGGCAGGCGTTCAGACAGAGTGATCCCTTCGTTTKTACTTTTAATAAGAATACTTTCTTTGATAAAGTACCGGAAGTGACGTTTTTGCAAATAGGTGTATGTTGATTGGCACTCATTTACTCCGAGTTACGTATAWGCATCGCTTATTGTTTATTGACTTATAATATAGCGCTCTTCAGTTCGTCGTCTCATTTTTATGCATTCAGTCCTCGACCCATTCATTTATACTTCCTTTTGCCCATTAATCCATATTAATAGGAATGCTACAATTATAATATAATAATATTCTTTTTTATTACTTTTAATTACTTACAAATGGAGATATAATGTACAATAATGCATAACTTTTATGTAATCATTTTTTTTTTTCCAGCGACCCCTTCAAAACCGACAGGCTCAAAAACARGAAAGTAAACTGGTCAGCAGCATCCTCCCAGAGCATCATAMTAATAKGCAAAAATTACCTCGTGGATTGGATAGTCATGAACAGATCAAACCAGCCCCACCCTGCGCAATCGGTCCCCATAGCAACAGAGATAATCAGCATATAACAACCACTTGTAACCTATCCTCTATATCCGATTCGACAGAAAATAGCATGGTACKTGACGTCACATCAAAAGATCACGTGATGCGTGACGTCACGAGCCAAAATTCTCTAATGAATAGCATCTCTCYGAAAAAAACCCGGCAAAATCCTCAGTATGGTCGTCGTGCTGTAATAGGCGATCATGAGACTGGAGTCCTTACGACGCCTCTCGACCAGTTAGCAATRGCGGGTCCCTTGGAGGAGATAAACAAAAAACTAAGAAATCAAAGTACATTTTGGATGTGCTTGGTTTAATATATGCATTAGACTATGTCGGTCTTAGTTTKAATCGTGTAAAAAAGAATTTGTCAATAGACCTTTGAAGCTTTTATATGACATATGGCAAACGCAATGCATTGTAGGATATGTTTGGGACAATATAAATGGGGACAAATATAAATATATATAAATTTTATTTCGTGGTAACTAGCGGTAAACTAGTTTGAGTTTTGTCGGTGTGGTTTCTAAAGAAACAGTTTTGTAAAGAGATAAATTTAACACCGTAAACACTGACGTTTTCGAAGCTTAATCCGTCGGAGTAAAGAGATGAATTTTATTTGTTTTTTTTTTTCCTTCTAAGTGATCCCACAATGCATTGCAAACAAGTGGTAACATAAAAGTGTCAAAATGCTATTATTTGTAAACTCAACTAGATTCCTTTCTTTAAAACGAAATAAAATCCCTCGGCGTACAAAAATCCAGARACTAGTCTTTCCAACTCAGTCTCACACATGCATACAACTGCTTTATTTGGGMAAAAAAAGTCAATTCCACAGATAGGTGTGTCATGTACGAAGCCTTTTATCAATTTCAAGGATATGCACTCCTATAGGCAGGTCTTTTAGTTGAATCATGATAGGAATAAGAGGCCACACCCATCCAAAGATGTACATATTTGACACACTTTCCTCATGCTAATAAAATAAGGTGATATATATGGTAATTAGTGTAAGACCAAAATGAACGGCTTTTCAACACAGATTGGAAGTCTAAAATTCAGATTGATGAACATTCCCTTAATCTAAGGAAAGGTTTTGATGTTTTTTCTTGTTTAGTAGATTACGACTTTCTTCCAATGTTACGGTTCTTGCATAAATGTCTGAGCTATGATGGAATGTGTTGTATGTACTTTTATAGAACGAGATTTCCTGTTCTATCGTCCGGTAGTTGGATTTCATATGAGATGCCACAGCTAGCGAGTGATATATAAAGAAGAAGAAAAAAAAAGAAAAGAAATAGATCGTCAATGCAGAGGACTTCTAGAGGTCAAAATATTTGGCTTCTTGAATGGTTACATTGTTTTGAGCTTAACGAACGCGGTAACGCTTCACCTGTTACGGAAGATTCTCACTTATTGTCGAGTTTGACCAGAGGAAGGAGGTGCTTTAGCTTAAGTGGCAGGCATTACTTCCACCATGTGTATAGCTTTACAATGGTGTTTTGCAGGGTCGGCGTCTTTTCTTTGAATTTTCGAAAGTGGAATTTAATTTAGGTAGGGGGACAATAAGAGTCCATAAGGTCAAGAGTATCTTTCCCRCCGTAAATAAATCTTAAGAGAAAGTGAAAACCACACCTTAAATAAGGAATGAAAAGGTAATCCGAAACTAAATGATGGCCAATAATGTTACAATTCCGACTCACGGTTTTTTATTATGGTAAGATTTATTTTCAGACATTGAATGAGACTGAGRATGTCGTGGCTTTCCAGCGAATAACAGATGACTGCTGAGAGAGGTTTATGGAATAAAACTATTCGGGGGGATACCTAATTTTCATGGGCTGTTTTATGTACTATTGTGCCATGTCTCGTATCTCTATGTTAATGAAAGTGTTTAAACCTATGACCCAAACAATAGTTTTTTTCGGCGTACTGTAAAAACTACAAATAATTATTACATGAATATGACTTTGAATATTGTATTCGAACTGCAGACTCGTTTTTTTGATCCAAAACTTGGGTTTTCCTAAAACGATGCTTTCCTTCCTCGGAATTATAGTCATCTCTATGTATCTTAAACTGTCGGATCGACATGGATTCTTTACAAATAATTTGTTATCAATGTAATACTAAGTGAAATGTAAATTACTATAATGCACTCAAATAAATGTTTGTTCGTAGGCGTATGTTCGGYCGTCATTACATGTAATATGTTATTTATAGTCACCTGGCTATACTTGATAGAGTAACCAATGAATTGGATACTCTAATATGAATTGACCGAATTTTTTCTGCATACAGTGACAATATTTAAAAACTTTTAAGTTTAAAAATGTATCAAAGTGTAATAATTTCCGATTCCCTTCGGGGGAACGTAGTTCCCACCCATTTCATATGTCCTTATATGGATAGCCATCACCGCTTCGCGACTGGTATCTGTATGACGTAGTAGTTTGCTCAGGGTGGCTGAAACAATAGATGTTTCGCTTGTTTTATTCGTCAACTCGCGTCAAGTCGGTTTGATCGTTTCGACGTCATAAGCCATTTTTTCATTAGACATTCGTTGTGGCTGAAGATAGCTCTCACAAGATCGTTTTTCAAGGGAAAACCGAACAGTCAATTCACTGATCTAAGACATGGCCAGCCTAACGTGTATTTCATGTAATTCACCGGTAAGATTTTGTTGAAATTACTGAACTATAAATACAGGTTATCAATCRTGAATTTATCTCGGTTTAATGCTAGAATTTACATCAAAAAAGTCATATTTCTTTGCCGTCGAGTTGTCAGCGAGCTACAATATATATTTTTGAGTGTTGTTCGGTCGCTGTCTATTATTACTGCAAATCGCAACAGGGTCAATAAAATTGAGAAACTTRAGTAAATATATTTATTTTGATTTTATTTGTAAATTTGCTTTACAACTACTATATAAAACCATCTAATACATACTTATTACTGAAAATACATATATTCTAAATACGAGCTCAATCACTTTATAACGTATTGACAATAGTCATAAGAAGAATATTAGAATGTTATATAAAAAATAGCAATTCAGTTGATATGTAAAAAAATAGAGCGAAGAGAAAAACTATTGCTAAACCATGTATTTGATGAAAAAAGAGACGTGATCCTAATTTGTAAACTATACGGTATTTCGCTTGCGTAAAAGTTCAATTCGTCATCGATATAAGAAATTCAAGTTCATTAAAAAATTCAAGAAGCAAGTATTTTTGACAAGCTCAATTGTTTCGYTTATTATTATTCTGTAATTATTTTTATTATAGACGGGAAATAGGCCTSTAGTGGGAAGGAAATTTTACTAGACAATTGTGASACTACCGCTCCCTAACGCACCTACAGAAAGAATGTATTTCAAGCTAGGAGAGTTATTCATCTATGCGGAAGATCGCCTGTGTGCTTGATGAATATCAATTTTTGTTCTAAAATACAGTAGCCAAAATTATCTTATYGTTGTTATAATAGCCTGTTTGATCCCATCAATCACCAAGATTGGTTRATACGGCCTTGAACTGTTMACTATGTGTAGGCGGTCAGAAATTCAAAATAAAATTACGGATCAACGATAAAATTGTTTTCGYTGAATCATGCAGTCTTAGGCTTTAATTATATGTCAACAGCAGTTATATAAAACCAGGAATAAATTGTAAACATCTACTGTCTCGACTAGTTGTTTTCATCACGCTAAGAATGGAGCAAAAAAATAAGGCAAATCCATGCATTTTATAAACATATTGACACGGACACATGCAAACTCTGGAACAATGTAAACATATTATAGGTTGTTTTCGACTTCACTGATAACCTTATCAAAACGTCCTGAGTCGTCATCAAAACATAAACCAAATCAGACGCTTGGAGAGCTGAGCAATCTTGAAACTTGATTATCTTCATTTTGGACGTACCGTCCCCTCGTACTGTCACATTTTCTGGAGTAATCTTCTTTTGACTATTTCTTGCCCGGTGGTGGGAGTGGGGAAGAAATTGGTGAAAGGGTAGTATTCTCGTAAACTAGACGCTCAGAGAGCGCTTACATGGGCTTCCTGAAGCAATTTCCAATTGAGATGCATTTTCATGGAGAAAATAACTATTTTCATCAATATTTGATTTATTACTTTTCCATRCAACCATTAATGAAGGTTTGTTTTCTAGCAAKGTTATTTTTTATTTGAGTACTAAAAATCTGTGTTTCAGGAACAATTCAGATTTAGAGAAGTTGCATTGCGAGTCACGTCTTTCAATTGCAATGTAAATGTATTTGTTGTCCTATAAATATTGCAGGTTGTAATGATCAAATAAAAAATAGAATAAAGGGATTTTGCAAAACAGCTCTCAACAATGTTTTGTGATTCTGCTATATTGTTTTTATCAGCTGTTTGATTGTTTGCTATAGCTATAAGAGCAGTAGCAATTTTTATGCCTTAATTCAATGTTTCTGTAAACCCATTTAAACTTTGAAAAGACTGCACCAAATTGTCTGAACGGAGTTTGATGTCCATTGGATGAAGTTAAAGGTGTCTTAGAGGCCGCAGTTTAGAGCCGGTTGGCAAATTTCGATCGCTGAGTTACCTCCCTTGTCTATTTTTATTTACGAGGGGGGAAAATATAAAAATGGTTTAATAAAGAATTAAAATGCTTTATACACAATATAGATTTTGTACAGAGTTCAGTAAAGCACGTACACGTGCAGTTTTCAAGTCCAAACACATGTCGTCAGCTTAGAAAATGGCATCAATATTTTTCAGATGAGGTTTGATATGTTTTAGTCAATCGAATAATTATTCTTCCTGTCAAAGTATCAACCTTAAATATTCATGCGWTTTCTTACTTTTTGAGGATTTTGTGATTGACATCGAGCACTTGTTGTGTCGACGTAGTGTTCTTCGTGTCGGCGGTAGAAAATGCCCAGTCATTTCTGCACGAATCATCCGACAACCTTAAATTATATACCTTATTCCATGTCATTTGAATGTTACTCAGTTGATTTTGCTAGATTTTCAGCTCTTTAGAGTATTTTAGCTACATTTTAGACCCATTTAAAACGAGACAACTTTTTGCCGCCGTCTCAACCGTCTGTCAGCCATTTTGTTTTAAGTGACTTTGGGTCTCCTGTGTTATCAGGCCACGTGACCATTTTTAAGTTCGTAAAGCATCATGGGGGACTATACGCGACGTTGATAGATAGATAGATTGATAGATTGATAGATTGAACAGAAGGTAGATTAAGACATGAGCTTCCACAGGAAGCCCATGTAAAAATGTCAATATGTCACAGTTTTTTTAAAATTTTAACTGTAAAATGTACTAGATAAATATTGAAACTCTGTATAACACACGGAAAACATAGAAAGTACACTCCTAAATCAAGACAACTAAAGATTAATTCAATACCTTATTCAGGACATTAACGCCGGAAACCATACCTTATTTTGTGGGGTGTTCCCCTATACTATACTAAATGTAAGAGTCCCCCCGGAATATACATGAGAATCGACTTTTGGGGAATTCATAAGTGACTCTGGATAGTCTCCTTTGCAGCCTCCCTTTTTGACGGGCTTCCTGTCCCTTCCTCTTCTTTCGAGAGGGATCACAGGAAGCCCGACAAAAGGGGAGACTGGGAAGGAAGGAGACTACATAAAGGAGGCTTRCCGCTAAAAATAGGGCCGCTAAATAGAGGTTCGAATTTGATTTGTGCTTCGCGCTTCATGGCGCTGTTTCAGTATGATACTGTTTATTCATTTTTTTTTTTTTCAAAAATCAATTTATTTCAGGTTATCGGTGCATTTTTTCGCTTGAAGACCGCGCAATAATTAWCAAGGGCGGGGTGCGTTTTTGAGAGACCTGAGTAACCAGAGGGGAGGGGAACACGGTTTAAAATTATGACTTTAAGGAGAGTGACGTCTAATTTAATCAGTGAAAGAGAAGGGAAAAATTCTTTTTGAAACTGAAACTCAAAAAAACTAATAACAATGTGATAACTTGCTCCAGTCCGCTTATCTCTATTCTGTACTTTCAGATTCTTGAGACTATAGGTTCATGTACCAAATGCGGTCATGTAAATAAAACCATGCGCACTATAGCTGGAAAGAGATTTTCTGGTAAGTACATGCTTCATGAACACTTCCATATGGCGCTGCGTCACGCCAATAATAAATTCAATTGACCCGTACTTGGCCTAGCGCGCGCCTAAAAGAAAACGTTTGAAAAAAGTAAACTTGATCGCGCCCAGATAAGGGGCCGTATGCTACCATAGACCCGTTGCTTGTCGCTCAGTCAAGAAGTAAGTAATTATATCGGTTTTTATTGATCCCAGGTTACAGAGAAGAACTCTACACTCGAAGGGTCATCAAAGAGAGTCGCGACGASTATCGACGAAAGAAACGGGAATCCCGCGGGATTAAATCAAGACTACGGGTATGAAATCAACTTAATTATTTTGTGTCGAGTACATCCTCGGAAACCCAGGGGTAATCTTCTGTCGTTCGTTCCTCACTCCCAGAAAAAATACCGCTGGGCACGAAGTCTGTTAGACCTTGTTCTCGATTCGAAATTCAAAATGGCGGCCAGTAAGTTAATCAACCAATCAGGATGTGGCGAGTGAATCACTCGACTAATCAGAAATTTACCGGCCGCCATTTTGAATTTCGAATCGAGAACAAGGTCTAACAGACTTCGTGCCCAGCGGTATTTTTTCTGGGAGTGAGGAACGAACGACAGAAGATTACCCCTNGGTAGCGTTTAGCCAAAAATGGGGGTTGCGAATAGGCCGCGGTCTACCCTTTTCCTGAACATAAATGAACTAAAACTAAAACAAGAAAACATCGAAACATAAAGTTGGCCGATATTAAATTAGCATGTATGTCTGTGATCATGGATTGATGAGCAAGATCCTGAGCAACTGTCGCAATCTTTTCTCATCTAAAAGTGGAAGACTTCTGATTGTTGATTTATTGGTAGATGAAGCCGAAATGATGACAAAGTAGGGATCAATGGAACGGAGCATGAAGCACTAGAGCGGATTTCGTATGAGTGGCACACCGTTACCGCACGGTTACCGCACAGTTACCGGACCTGGMCTGCACAATTTTGGTGAACCAATGGGGCACTAGAATTTGGTTACAGTACGATTACGGTTACAGTACAGTAACTAATTAATATGCACGTGCACAGTAATACAGCTATTTCAAAAAACGTTGACGGGGAAAATGGCGAACGGCGATTGTCGAAGGGAGGTTGCACAACCGAAAGGAACTATGGTTACATTGTTTTGATAAACAAAATTTCACTTATTGGATTCACCTTACATAGAAATGGAGACTATCAAAAAATGGAGCCAATGTTTACCACAGACCATCTTACAGTACAAATCAGTTGTTATTGCCTTTCAACTAGCAAAACCCATGGCTACTTTCGGTCGTGCAATCGCCGTTCGACCATTGACATTCGCCATTTTATCCGACAACCTTTTTTGAAATACCTGTATATAGGCGATTGTCAAAAGAGTTGTGAACGATAGTTATTATTGACAGACTCTAAACTGACTCTAATCAAAATTCTAAAGTAAACAAACTGCTTTCGTGACTCCTCTCACAAAACCGAACCAAGTCCGAAAGTCCGCCATCTCGAGCATTTCAAGTTTCCTGGTCATCTTCAAGATTTTGTTAGCCTGTGCAGCCAGGCGTTCCTAGCCGCTCCGAGAKAGTTTGGGCCAAAGATTTTGTGCACAAAACACTTAGTTTTTTTGGCAATGTGGTCGACATGCATGAAAACAATTTTCCATTGAAGATCAGAGCTAAACTCACGAGGCATCTTTTTCTATTTCACCCGCAAAAAAAAGAGAAACATGGGCGGACTGTCGGGCTTAGTTCGGTTTTGTGGGAGGAATCACGAGAGCAGCTCGTTTACTTCGGAATTTTGATTGACGGGAGCAAAAACAGCAAATGACCGTTAATGTTAGCAGTGCTAGAGTTCGCAGAAACGGAAAACCTCARTAAAGGACAACTAACAAGAATAATTTCAAAGCCATATTGTTCAGCTTTTTGAACGACAGATCGATACTCGGAAAAAAACTGAATAAAAACGTGGAACGCATAAATCGAAAACCGATAATAAGAAAAGTTATTTTCAGTAACCAATCAGAAAGTGACTTAGTTCAGGCACCTCCAGGGTCATCTCCCCGATGTCCGCCATCTCATATGGAACTTATGGGGGACAAATAGTCCGTGATCACTCAAGCTTGACCTGACAGTCCGTATGAAGTGCCAAATTTGACGAAAGATTTCAAGGCTTTTTGAAGAAATGCGGCGACATTAAAAACAATCSTAAAAACCTAGCACCGGATTTAAGAAATRAMATCTATATGCGACCTTTCTGGGTATTTTTCATGAGAAAATTCGAAAATCCAATCATGTATTTTTGCCCTTGAAGAGTTGAAGTTGAGCATTAAAATAGTATGGCGATCCATGTTTTCACCACAGTTCGCTCCAAAAAACTGGGCCTCGCGCATAACTTATTTTGTTAATAAAAAACCTAGCACCGGATTTAAGAAATAAAATGTATGTGTGACATTACTGTGTATTTTTCGTGAGAAAATTTAAAAATCAAATTAYGTATTTTCGCCTTTGAAGAGTTGGCGTTGCTTCGCATCCGTTTGCGTTTCGGGATTCCTGTCCCGACGATGAACGGATGCAAAGGAGACTACTTCTGTAGGMACAAGCAACAAAAATCAAACTTGAATTTTTCAAATTATTGCTTTCTTATTATATGTTGAAAATGTACTCAAAACTATGCAGTTTTGTGTTAATTCAATATTTGAAAAATTTATATCAGTCAGTGAACGTAATTGTGATATTATATGTACATGTACTTTYCTTTCTAGAGGTGACTTTGCTATTAATAGTATTTAATGGTCAGATGATGATGTTAATGAGGTCGATCGACGACAAAATATTAATTAACTCCATTGTATTATATTTCATGAAGTAAATAAATAAATTACATGCATATATACATGCATGCATGGATGCATGAGTGAGCCTGGACAATAATCCAAGCAAATGTCACCCGATGTATGGCAATAAGTTCCATATGGAAAAGGAGTCGGCCGAGATAGCCCTGGGGACGAGGATGGATTTTTGATTTCTGGTGCAGGYYAGTTTACTACATGCTGTCTATCAAGTAGAGTATCGTCCCTATTCTAATTTCTGTCAGCTTTACTCAAAATAACAGCAGAACAAGGGGAAAGCGACGTCATGCCSAGCAATCTTGTACGTAGCCKGTAGAAGAGTCTATTTTAAGTAACACTCWCTCGCCAAAAATGTTCTTATGGATTTGACGAAAACGGGTGAACAAGCTGCCTGCACGCATATTGTATATCAGGCTATCATCATGAAATCACTTCAATAAGTATTTGGAGCCAAGAAGCTGACAAGAAATRTAACAAAGCATGCAATTTTCATTCTTCGTATCTTATTGTAAATATTTATGCGCGTAATCAGTGTGTGTGTTTTTAATTTAACTAATAAACGGTACACCCAACTATATATCTCAACTCTACACCCCTTCCTTTTATTGTCAAGTCACAAGCTCCAAAAGACGATATGCATGAACGGAATATGCATCGAAACAACTTCAGATCTCTTCCTTCATGCCAATGTCGGGAGGAAATTTGCTCGATCTGAAACCGCCGATCAAGCTCAGGATAAGCGCTAGACGTTTCTTAGGAAAGGAAGAGTATTTTCATGTCTGTGATCAAGTTGTTTTATTTCATTCTCACAAGGATTTTAGACTGCCGGGCACACAGTCTTTTGGAGGTTGTGACCGGCAGTTCAGCGTAAAAATTTCTAAGTGCATCAAATGACTGTTTCGTATTCTGCGCCGAGCCCAAAGAATTTGCTGAAATTCAAATCTATTAGCTCACGGCAAGCGCTTTTGACACTTCTCAATAAATATAAAACGATTTGATGCGTTCAATCTCAATTGTTTTATCGATTTTTGCGAGTATAAAATATAAGACTACCGTGCATTTGGTTGATGGGTATTAACATGGCCGCCATTTTGTGACGTCATGTTTGTTTACAAAATTGGTAATGAACCGGATGTCTGGATTTTATGCTAACAAGGTCTAGAAACTCCAAGCATAACTGGCCTCAGTCAGAACAAAGTTCCAACAATTAAGAAAAGGACGTTATTCCCTGTCTTGACGAAGTAAACGGTAAATGAATGACTAATATGTGAACATCCTCATACTGTATAATGATTCATAATCCCAAATCCCAAAAGGTTGACAACTGACTGTTTCAGAGATTTAAAAAAAGTCGAAACCTAWATTTGAATCATTGTTTGTGTCGAAGTTTTGTTCGATTTCTCTCATTAATTTATACTCGTTGAATTGTTCTTTTTCAGTTACAATAATATCATACATCGAGTCATGCAAGGTAAGCACACGCGATGGTCATGATCACCTACATCAGAGTTAACTCTGCCTATATGCATATAAATAATCGATGAAGCTGGGCGACAGTACAGTCACTTACTTGACTGGTAGTAGTTTTATCGTTTCTCTCATGGACCGCTTCTTTTATATTTATGTCACAAATTAGTGTCGGTTCTTCTAACCCTCTTGCCAATCTAAAGATGATGAGGAGCCAAGTATCTCTCTCTTAGTTCCTCAACGAAGATTGAAAGCGGAAAAAATAGCGTGTTCTGCTTCCTTCTCGATCGAATCGAAACAGTTGTCAAAGGCGGAGCGACAAATAACGCAACGCTAAAAGTCGATAATACAATACTGATAATCTATTTATTATAATATGACACTCTTTACGGCCTTCATCAGTGCAATGRTATGACTGGTAATTGGAAAATGCTGTAAACCAACACAAACACCGTGATAGATATCAAACGCGATGAAGTTCTTTGCGAAAATGAAATACACGTGTGCATGTGCATGGAAAAATCGCGAAGTTTGCAGCGTATTCATATAAAATATTTGTCTCTAAACAAAATTATGATAATTTAAAATCGATATCTTATATGATTACTTTAAAATTTCAGAATATATACAAAGTCCGTACGAATAGAAAACAAACTCGGCTCACGGTACCGTATGAATAGCCACTGTGAATGAAATACTGAGATGTTGATTGACTACAAATTGACTGTGAATGAGACCGTATTCGTGCTGCTATTAAAATCCTTCATGTTAGAAAATAAAGTATTTGCTGACAGAATGAAATTTCTGCTGTTCTTTAATTACTTTTATATTTTGTAGATTCAACAAGGCGATACCCAAAAACATCTCGAAGAATGTTGTTCGAAATTGATCATTTTCCATTGGAGGAGCTCTATACTTCACCTGATGATGTTGATTCCCCTTTGACCACTTTCACTCAAGATCTGTTCAATAGTCAGGCAAGCGTGATCATACGCGAAGCTGCCAAGGGATCGAGTTTCATCCAAGGAATGGCTCAAGGAACACTTGATCCAGACATCTATGGCGGATATATGGTTCAAGATGCAGCATATTGTTTCAAWGCAGTCCAAACCTTTGACATGGCAGCAGATTCATGTCAAAAAAGTGGGAATCCTGAGTTTGCCTTGCTATTCAGGGTCTACTCAGAGAARTTCAAGACCTACAACCAAGATTTTGTCAAGAAATGGAGACTCAAAAACAGCGACAGCGTGGGAATGGGTCCCGCAGCTGCAATGTACGTGAGTTATGAGAGATCTTTAGGCAAGAGCCAAGACCCAAGGTTTGTGTCCATTGCTATGTTGCCTTGTCAAATGCTTTGGCCTTGGATTGCTGGTGAGCTGATTGGATCAGTTAACAAAGACAACCCATATTATGGCTGGTTCAATGACAACAAACCCGATCCATCTGGCAAGAAGAGCACAGTGGAAAGATTTGTTAATCGCTGCTTCACCAAGCCTGAAGACAAACAGAAAGCTGAAGAGATTTTCTTGGAGGGTATGGTGAATGAGCTGAATTTTTTTCGCGATGCTTGTGGTGAAGGGCTTCGCTACAATTTTGGGAAACTTACTGTAGGCTTCGGCCGCAAGTGATCTCAGTTTCTTTTTCTAAATAAAACACCCGAACCTTTATCTACCCTGATAAAGCCATAATTAAGTGATTGATATAATATGGTTTAATAAATAGTGAAATGAATTTGATAGGATAATATTAGTTTACTACGATGTTTTAACTAAAAATATGACATAAAATATAGCAATGTGAAAATGTACTCGATTGGTCTCAATTTAACCAACGGTTATGTCTTTCCGTGATACATGCTTACGACATAAACCGGTAGTGGCTTAGGGATTGAAAAATATAATAACATTCTTATTGAATTGAACAAGAAGCAAGAAAATGTCGTTTTCCTACAGACAAACGATTTTTCTTAAATTCAGGTGAACGGAATCCCTAGATATTTGCCATCTAAACTCCTCCAGGGCCCTTATAGGCCTCGTTTCCATTCCTTTGTTTTCTATTGTTTTCAATTCACTTCCGGCTTACGTCGTAAGCATCTATTGCCAACCATCCTTATCCGACTCCTTTGTCCAATATAACAATGTCAACTGAGTGTCTTCAGTTCTACCACGAGGTAGTTGCTTTGCCCGAGGATTTGGAACCAAATCTTTTTGTTCTGCTTCTTAATGACTGTTTGACGAAAACTTTTCTAAAACTTTTCCTTTTTTAGTTATAAAAACATCGTTCTCAGCTATCAACTCATTCAAAGGCARAACAAATGGAAGCGTGAAAATTGTTTGTCGTGAATTTCGGAACGATTTCACTGGTTTAATTGTTCTCTTTCAGTTACAGTAATATCATTCGATTCAGAAGATTCAGGAAAGAGGAAAAAGTAGTGACTATCTTATAATATAGAGTGCAAAAAACATACTCGCGACATAGATAGTGAAAAATAGGGAATAGTGTTAGTCGTTAGACAAGACATAGAAATTTAGTGAGGCATGACATGGACTCGTACTCTTTCAAGACTATATTTATTTAGATTGGTGCTGCTGAATATWTTTWTGTGAGGGGCTGGAAGCCCGACATAAGGGTAGATTGCGAAGGAGATTAGTCCTTTTCGTGTTTTGGTTTTTTGTCAACCTCGTCCCCAGTACCCTCTTGGTAGCTATTTTCAAAAGGGAGGCTGCAGCGAAAACCCTGGCACACAAACCGTTCCCGAACCATCTCGGCTGACTCCTATTCAAGATGGTGGTGGTTTGGGAGATGGTGGTGGTTTGGGAGRTGGTGGCGCTCGGATCGTAGACTCAACGGTTCACAAATTGACCTAGTCCAGCCACAGGGAGCCCAAGCAATGACTTTGGACCTAAAATAGTTAAAAAGAGAATTTTACTTAAAAAATAGTCTACTTTTATTTTATTCAGTGTCACAATGCATTATAAATGAGTTTAAAAAAAATTCTAGGCGATGTGCTCCGTGACAGGTGAAACTGTCCCTACGGGCCCCCCATAGTCTCCAAATTTGTCCAGTTTTCAGTTTTGCGCGCGCCAGTGGCCTCAGGATAACCTCGACACGGATGGSTTTGGGCTATTTTTGGGGCGACTTTTTTGGATTTGTTTTGCCCGAAAAAGCGTTTCTATCGATGCCTCTCGTCCAAAATAAGGTAAAAAACGTTGATCTACATATGTTGTCTTAGATAAAATTTCGTTTTGATTTAATTTCGGTGCGAAAAAAGGATTTTTGTTGATCGTTTTTGGCTCATTTTTAGGAGAATTTCGAGCGGAGTCTCCTCCCTTGTCACTATATATATAYAKGDAGGGGAWATTTTTTWAAACCCATTTATAATGCATTGTGACACTGAATAAAATAAAAATAGACTATTTTTTAAGTAAAATTCTATTTTTAACTATTATAGGTTTGCTTGGGCTCCCTGTGGTCCAGTCCTGGCCTTTTTTGACCCGCTCCAGGACTCGCCTGGACAGAGAGTCCAGTATTACTTGCATGTGCATGTGCAAAACAAACCAATCAGATTAATAGTCACACACGTAGCGACCGCTTGGAAAGGAGTCGGCCGAGATAGTCCTAGGGACGAGGCTGGGTTTTTGATTCCTGGTACGGGTTAGTTTACTTCAAACTTCTCTCAATTAGAGTATCGTCCCTCGAAAATAACAACAAAACAAGTGTAATCGACGTCATGCTGAACAATCAAGTGCGTACCCAGTAGAAGAGTCTACTTTTAGTAACACTCTCTCAAAAAATGTTCTTATGGATGACGAAAACGCGTTAACAAGCTGCCTGCACGCATATTGTATATCAGGCTATCATCATGAAATCATTGATGCCTACCATAGGCTAGCCTGCTTCATTTCATCCTACCCCTATAATATTAGCAARTGAGTTTTWAAAAAAATAGTTTTCCCAAATAATMAATTAAAATTATGCTTCTTCACCAGGCATTTTWATGAAATCTGCGGCCTCGTCCACAAAAGATCTGTTCATGTGACATGGCATCATGATGCGACATTGGCTAACAAGAAATACCACCCCATAACTCCAATCGCTAAAGGCACATATTTATTATTTTCACATGTATTATTATTTCGCGATAAATAATCTATTCCATTCTATACTGATGCATATTATTCTTATAAAGGAGTCGAATAACTAATTTACCTGAGGAGTGATAAAAAGACCAAAGCTATACTCGACGCCAATGTTATCAATGTTTTTCGATATAATTGCACACCAGTTTATCGAATTTTTAGCAGTTGTAATGGTTAATATATTTACAAAAGAAATTGTGACGAAWGGCCTTCTGGGGCCTCATGTCTATATCTATCAATCYCATAACCGCCGCCCTCTTGTAGAGACATAAAGTCATTTGCATAACTCTTTGCCCATCTTTACTGCGTGTGTTACAACTAAATCTCTATGGCTTGAGTCATATACAATCGTCAACTGCCTCTTTTTTAMAAAAAGAAAGGGAAATCGAAATGCTACGCGACGCGTCAACCGTTTCCTGAGGCTTGATGTTGAGCAATGAAGAAGAAAATAACAACTTGTTATYATGAGTGAAACTTTTTGATTTTCTTTCGTGAAAGCGGGTTAATAGTTCTTGCATCTACATTAAGAGATATCTACAGCGAAGAATTAAAAGTCAAGCAGCATCCTGTAGTGGTTTACTGATCATTTTTGACTTGGTTCATGATCAAATCTGGAATTGGTTTTTCCATGATAGCCTGGTTTCATCCAGCGTTTACTCCRTAAACACCGTAGAGAGTAAACCGGATGCACGCAGGCTATTCCATATCTGCCGATCACCATCGCCCAGTAGTAATGCGAATTCGGTGTCTTAGGCCCGGTTCATACGTCGAGCCAGCGTCGCGCCGAATACGATAGTTTRATAATAATGGATGTAAATTGCGTGTTATCGGATTTTTTCTTATGCTTTTAACTGCATTTCGTTCGACGTATGAATCAACRCCGTACCGAATGTATTTGGGTCGACACCAATTGACTATTTGATTCGGCGCGGCGATAGCACGACGTATGAACCGGGACCGAGATCGTTATTTTGTGATGGTTTTGCATYAAAAAGGTTTTGCTCTGCTTCGAATGAAACACGAAGAAATGACCAAAAAATAACGAATTAAACYAGTGCTTTTGGTGCTTTTTTCAGTTAACTGACAAACTATCGTCCCCAGTCTAATCTGTCAGCTCTTTCGAAATAACGGCAGAACAAGTGGAATCGACGTCATGCTGGTAATCGTTTACCAAGCATAGCATGCTGYTTTTAGTAACACTCGAACTCTCGCCAGCCGTGATTTTAATATCAAGTGATGAAATCATTGAACCTACCGATGCGAGGAACAATTTGTCTGGTTTTGTTATCTATAAAAAGAAACTCCAAGTATATGAGTCTACTTTTAGTAACGTTTTCTCGCCAACCGTAGTTCTTCCACGACTACTTTTGTCGAAAACGAGGAAATACGCTTCCTGCACCCATTTTGTATATCAGGTGATAAAATCATTGATGCCTACCACAGTTAATATATATATCAACGCACATCAACTATGTGCCTAACGACGTTTTGTTAAGAAACTTCAAGAACGACAGCCTGTTCGGAAGAAAATTTCAACAGATAAGAACTTCAACCTCTCTCGAAATAAACGGTAGGTGAAGAACTGATACAGTGAACTACAGGTTGTGTCCTCTACACTAATCTGAAATCGGAGAAACCTGACTTTTTTCAACTGTACGTCTCACAGATTAAAGAAAGTCGAACCTTATCTTTGAATCATTGCTTATGGCGAGGTTCGGGATGATCAAGTTCTCATTAACTTATTCTCGTTTATTTGTTCTTTTTCAGTTAACAGTGATATCATTGATTCATCGAGTCATGCAAGGTAAGTACGTCAATCAAACAGTCACAGACATGGCATGGGACACTTAACTAGCTAGTATTTTATTTGTTTCTCATCGCTTTTACCTTGTGGACTGCTTTTTTAACTCACATGTTAAGAGAAGCTAGTCTATTCAAACCTGCAGTAATAAGGGTGTATCTTCACCTTTTCTCAAAACATACCAAGTATATATCTCTCTGATATCAACGAAAAATCGAAAGAGGAAAAGATTAAAAAGCTATACGTTTTGACGCTATTTAGTGACCCCTCAATGCTTCAAGTCTTATCTAAAACCCAAAAATAGCCGAAAATAGTCAATGAAAGCTGTTTTTTTCGTTGTCTTATTTCACGTTTGTACTACAGTTTGGTGGATACAGGAATGCAATGTATACGTGTTGAGTGAATGTCATCTTTATTAAAAATAAATTCATTTGTTTGTTTATTTGCGCCAATCTTTTTTTTCTAGTGGAAACAATGCGATACCCAAAAACATCAGGAAGAATGTTGGTCGAAAATGACCTTTTCTTACCGTTCTTCCAAGAGGAGCGCTGTACTTCATATGATGAGATCGATTTGGACAACGCAAAATCCTTCTCTCAAGATTTGTTCAATAGTGAAGCCAGCGTCATGATCCGCGATATTGCCAAGCATTCGACGTTTATCCAGGGAATGGCTGAAGGAACACTTGATCCAGAAATCTATGCTGGACATCTGGTTCAAGATGCGGCCTATTGCTTTAATGCAGTCAAAACTCTTGACAGGGCAGCAGAATCATGTCAATCAAATGGAGCCCCTGAGTTCGCCTCGCTATTCAGATCCTACTCAAAGAAATTCAAGACCTACAACCAAGATTTTGTCAAGAAATGGAAGCTCAACAGCCAGAGCGTAGAAATGGGTCCAGCAGCCGCGATTTCCGTGGGTTTTGAGACATGTTTAAGCCGTGAAGACCCAAGGTTTCTCCCCATTGCTATGTTGCCGAGTCAAATGCTTTGGTCTTGGATTGCTGGTGAGCTGATTGGGTCAGTTAATGAAGACAACCCATATTATCACTGTTTCCATGACAACAAACCCGATCCATCTGGCAAGAAGAGCACAGTGGAAATGTTTGTTGATTCCTTTTTCAAGACTCTGGATGAAGYAGAAAAAGAGAAAGCTCTGATGATTTTCTTGGARAGTATGGTGAATGAGGTGAACTWTTTTCGCGATGCTTGTGGTGAAATGCTCGAATTAGTCCACTGAGTAATACCAAAAACATACCCGACTCCAAATTTATCAGCCAATAACATAACAAAAGTGCTTTTTTCGCTGAATAAAATCATGTTTAATATAATAAAACTGATTAATATGGTATAATATATCAATACCATTAATTTGATATGATAATATGGTTTTCAAATGATATTTTTGTATATACAATACTCATAGCGCTGGTTTGATTATTGGTTCGATGTCTCTTTGCCATTTAAAATATTGCTAAATGGAGTCGAGTTAGAAATGATTACTATACTTTTATAACCTACTTTACTTGTATTATATGTATACAACATTTGTCCAATTTTTATAAGTTAATTAACTCGTATTTCTATTAAAAGAGTTGAAAAAAAGTTCTATTAATTATGTTTTTATTCTATTCCCCCAACCCCAGGGGAATACCAGGGAATTTAACGTTTGAGTGGTGTTAAAATAAGACATTTCCACCGGTAGGTTCGATCAGGCTGAACGGTGAGCTTCAAAAAATAATAAATTATGAGGAAAACTTTTGTATTGTTTAATATGCGGTATGGTATCGTAGAATCCGCTAATGTACTAGTAAATAATGATTTAAAAGGTTAAACTAATTCACTTTTCTTACAGAGGAAATTTAAAATCTAAGAGTCACCCTATAGTAGCTTACTTATCATTTTTGACTCGATTGATCACAATCTGGAAGGTCTTTCCATGGCTGCCAATCATCATCATCGTCTAGTAATAATGCTAACTGAGTGTCKTCTTCATCAAGGTTGTTTCCTTGCGAGGGTTTTACAGCAAAAACGTTTTTCTCTGCTTCCTCGGCAAATTGACACAGAATATCATCATCTTGGGTGTCTTCAAAAATACCCTAGAAAAACAAACAAAATAAAAACATATATAATGAACGAGTATACGAGAAGTACTTTGGTCATGTTTCACTTTAGATATTTCGGCTACTAGCCGTAGCCAACATATATAAAAGCTATTTTTTATGAAAAAAACCCGTAAACAAATCAACACCGTTCTTTGTGAGACATAAGAAGACAAAGAACAGCTTTTTATTCTTTATTGCTCCTTTGTTATTATTTTTCGATTTTAATTTCTTGGGATCAAAACGGAAATGCAGCGATAGACAAAGAGTAACGTTCAACCTACCGAATCGAAAMACTCTTCTTCGTCAGAGAAAGGGTTGATTTCTTCTGGAATCGGATTTTCTAGAGAAAAACAGAACCAAAACAAACTAAAGTCACTATTTATATATTATTCTTGAAATATTAAACTATAATGGAGACAAAGCAGGCCAAGGCGTGCTTTTTCAATTATATATTTGGCGCGTTATTCAGTAATACAGTACTCAACGCTCTTTGTAATGGCGTAATATTCTGTCTCAATCATTGTTATCAATAAGATATGGAAAAGTAACTCCGACCGGGAATTTTTCCGTCTCGTGGTAACGTGGGTAAAATGGCTACCCTTGTACTCTGCCTGAACTTTGGCCGGGTATAGGGATGGGTGCGATCTTCACCTCGGCGATTTACACAACAATGAATGCAAATCCGTCATTTTTTCTCGCATACTGAACCAATCAAAGTTACGTATTTTCCCATCAGAAAACATTTCTTGTGGGAATGTATTATAAATAACATTCTTTCGACAAAATGCACATAATCAATGACTTAACGCTTTCTCAACTTCAGAATCCAAGATGGCAGCAGCTATTCTATCTCGTGTGCAAAGGATTGTATAAAACTGCACAACTCATTGACAGGKTTCGTACAGATTTTTACATATAAAATTCAAGGACTTTTCAAGGACTTTTTAAGGATTAATTTTCAATTTTCAAGGACACCAATTACAAAGAGAAAGATACAGTTAATAAACTTACTAGTCCTGTGTCTTACCAAACAGAACAATAAAAACATTGTAGTCAACTTTGTTTAAGAACTTTATCTCTTGGAACATATTTTTCTCAATCTCTATTAATTTCTTTGCCGCCGTATTGCACAATAGTACAACAGACATTGCCAAAAGGATTGAAATATTATCAATTTGCTTCAAAGCTTGGCAAAATTGATCTCTAAAACATTACTTCACAACAACCAAGACTGATTCAAGGACTAAATTATCATTTTCAAGGACCTTTCCTCCAAATTCAAGGACTTTTCAAGGAAAATTTGCATTTTTAAAAAGACTTTTCAAGGACCTAGCTCCAAAATCAAGGACTTTTCAAGACTGTACGAACCCTGATTGACTACAATATTTTTTTTCATATTTTGTCAATACTGTTCATAATTAATATGCTAAATGTCGATAGATTTCCACCCGTGATCCTTTTAGGTCTAATAGTGTAGGGTGAGCACCCAGGAGCGCAAA